AATAGTGCCTCTTTTACGGGCCGCGGGCGGCCGTCACATGGGAAATTATTTGACATCGCGTTTAATGGATTTTTGCCTTCATAACATTTTACCTACATACGAGCATGTATCCAAAGTGCATACACCTTTCTAGACTTGTCAAAGCCCGAATTTTATGGTTGTACATTTTTAAATGCAAAAAAAATTGGAGGTTACATTTTGTAGATATTTTTATTTATTTTCCTGTTCAAAATTTAATACTGTTCATGTTACAAATAATAAATGTTGTTACAGGTTACATAGTGACTGGTTTGGAGTTATTGGAGCTGCGCGTACCGGCACACGTACCATTAGGCACGCGCGCGTCCCTCTCCTGCCGCTGGAAGCTGGGGCCCACTGACGTCCTCTATTCTGTCAAGTGGTACAAGGACGGCAAGGAGTTCTTCCGACACGTCCCCCGCGATGTCGAACCCCGCAGAAAGTTTCTATTACCTGGGGTCGATGTGGAAGTAAGTTCATTAACTAGTTTTAGAAGATTCAAAAAATGAATTTGTATTTTATTTATATATCTAAATTATTATTTAAAACACCTGAGATCTTTAGTTCAATATCAAATAAAAATATCATAATTTATTTTATGTTATGCAATAAAATGATTAACTTATAAAAATGTTTTATGAGATATCGTAAAGGTATAAATATGACTTCTTACCATATTTTTATAAGCCGTATATTTCACAGTCAGAATAAAACAAAAAATGGAAGATGCAATCAACATTATTACAATATACAAATTATTAAAATATCGCTTTCTGTGGAAAAAATACCTCATATCATATAGTTTCAACAATCACCAATATAATTACAACTTGTTTTTGATATCGTAAAAAAAATTGTCACATTAAGAAGTTTCAGTATTCAAAGAAGTGACATTACATAACCTTACTTATATTCGTCATAAATATTAGTTAAAGCCGGGAGTCGGACGAGACATGCTTTATAGAGGCGCTTATTTTCTGTAATGGATGTCGCGATTGTAATCTATAGCACGTAATGAAGTTGACTCACCGAAATTGCGTGCGTGTTGTGGCGGGTGAGTGACACCTGAATATATCTACACGTAGCGACCGACTCTAACCGACGCCGATAACGTGCCGTTCTATGAAAAAGATTTTTTAAAGCAAAGGAGCGCGAACCACACAGCCAATCTTTTGTGTTCGATTTTTTTTAATTTGTAATGATTGAAAAGACAAAGGTCATGTAATTGGTCGGTTATATCATTACTTAAACTCTAATTTGTCGAACTCCGTAGCACATTCTATATTCGTTTCTCATCATAAAAATCAACATGCTCTTTTTTCTATCATTTTGTGTAGACATGATCGTAGTCACGCAGTTATCTTAGTGCCGATTCAACAATGACCCAAACCCATTTGTAATTAAATAATATAGCTTTGAATCGTAATACAAACCACTATAGAAGTGGAACGGATATTGCGCACTGAAGAGCTACGTGCGCACACAAGCAGTCGCTTCAAACTGTTCCAGCTTCCTTCAATTTAAACATAAACACGTAAAGTCATACACACATCGGCCAACTTTATTACTATTGTTTTTTAAAGTGGAAAACTATTCGAGCGCTGGCCAGTAACATTTTAAAAACTTACTGGCCGGTAACACTGAAATTTTTATGTTTTTAAAGTTGACGCAAAAAGTTTTGTTGCGTTTTAATTGAATTTTTCGTATATATAACGAAGAAATTAGTGAAGTACTTTTAAATCCTAGCAAAACAAAACGTTTAAAAAAATACCGAGAAAAGATATAATATTGAATACTTGTGTCTAAAAGTTTAACCAAAAACACTGATCTATATAAATGGACAGGTAATAAACTGCGGTATTTTGTTTCTATTTGGATTTAGCTATTTTGGCACTTATGGTTGCATATTGTGGCGGTAAAGAGTTTCGAACTAATAATAGAAATAGACTTAACTGTCATTATCGTCAAAAGGCGCGTTTAAATCGAAACGAAGCCAAATCTGCCATTTCCAAACAATCGCCTATCGATTTATATAGATTAGTGATAAAAAATAATGTTCTTGTTTAATTGCTTCCTGTGAATAGTATATCAGTTGTTTTGTTAACAGCAATCGAGTCCGAACGGATCCAACATCACGTTGTTCCCAGCTGTATTGGAGACCGGTGGAAGATACCGATGCGAGGTATCAGGAGAGCGACCTCTCTTCCCGACGGTGTCCGACCATGCGGACATGATCATCGTGGGTAAATATCGAAAAAAGTATATTCTTTACTTGTATTATAAAGAGAAAAGATCTTTGTATGTATTAAAATAACTCCAAAACTACAGGCCAGATTTCAACATTTTTTCACCATTAGAAGGGTAATTTATCTGTGAGTAACATAGGATATACTTTTTATTATTTTTTAATTACACGCGTACGAAGTTGTGAGCGAAAGTCACACGAACGTTACAGCGTTGCAAGTACAACGGCTACGACGACCAATATCATATCGAGTGACCTCCTCCGTTGTTGCTGCGTCACTGTTATTGTCGTGTAGCATCTATCATAACGTAAACAATATGTACTCGTGGAAAAAACATATTTGTAATAGGTTTCTAGACAAAGAAATTTTATACATTATTCTGTACCATATTTTTAACGTTTCGAATAGACAGTGTGCTTTATCAATTGTCTTAAATTATTATTAAAAACGAGCTCATTTTACTATCATTAAAAAACATTACAGTTAGATTATTTTATTTGTGTTTTATACCTATTCGTAACTAGTACCTTTTATAAAAGATTTGACTCATAAACCACAATATACACTACCTTTTAATTATTTTGAGGCAAGTCGTATAATTGCTCTATTCAAGTGGCAGCAGTAAACCCTTTCACTTTAATGTTTACTTTTGATGTGAATATTATGTTTTAGTGTCGTTCTTATGATACCTTTATACAAAACCATACCTTTATTACTATGTTCTCTAATGTAACATTTAATTATTAAACTTTAATTTTTCGTCCAGAAATTTATGTAATGTCACGACATTAACACATTAAGTTATGACGAACATTTATAAACCAACGTAAATGTTAAAACAAAATCAATTAATACAAGATCATTATCATCGTCTTGCTACTCTTTGACTTAAATGTATCCTCTTATATTCTACGAAGTATTAGCAATCTATGTGATTTAAAACATTTCTCTCTTTCGCAGCATTACCGGAACACGGTCCGACTATCTCCGGTTCTAGACTACGGTACCAAATCGGAGATCGGGTGCAGGTAAACTGTACTTCAGGCCGGTCCAGACCGGCGACTAGACTCGCGTGGTATATCAACGGCGAGCCCGCGCCCCCAGCCACAGTACTGACACCCGTCACGTATAAGGACGATGATGGTCTGGAGACAACGAGTCTAGCGCTCGATTTCAAGGTCAAACCGAAGCATTTTAGAAAAGGAGATCTTAAACTGAAGGTAACTTTTGTTAATAAGCATTTAACACTTTTAACGCCACTAGATTGGCAAGTTCGCTTTCAAATTTTCTAGGAATAGCTAAAATGCTAATTGTAACAAAATATCTTGTATTAGAGTTGTATTGTTTTTGAGTCGTAAAATGTCATGGGAGGCTTCCTAGCTAGTCGCTCATAAAACTTTTTTAAACAACCTTAACGTCTAAAACGTCACGTTGCTTTGCCTTTTTTATGAGTCTTTTTTTCACTTTTTGGTTCTCAAGCTACAAAATGCTGGATCACGAAAACTCTCATAATCTTACTTAGATTACTACTAACCAAAGTTATTAAAGTTATTCATAAAGCCTACAGTTCCATTAAAATTTTATTATATCGTAAAACTTTATAGTGTCATATCTTTAGTGATTTTTGTTAAAATAATTCAGAAATAACACTGAATTCATTTTTCGTTTGCAGTATTTAACGTCCCAATGACGTTTTATGTTTTAAATATGAATGTTTGACATGGGCTTCTGAATTAATAACGCATTGAGTTATTGGATTTTATTGATTTTGGCTTTACGCGTTGCATCAAGTATTTTGATACAAATGATTTAGTTTTTTAAACATTGATCCTACAGAGTTGTACAAATACTTAGTATTTTAAAAAATAAAAGTCATTTTTGGACAGTGAAGAAGAAAGAAATATGTTACAAGTTAAATTAGTTTACTAAGTTATCTATTCCAAAAGACAATAATATTCAAATATCTTAATTCTTTTCGAAACAAAATGATATAGTCCATCATACTATGCATCCTTGAGACACAATCTGTCTCTACTTCAGTCCAAACATTTTAAAAGATTATAAATTTGTTATTCACCTTTACTCGAAATATAGAGATATTTAAAAAATATATAGACTGGGCATAGTGAAGAAAATTTTTCACCGGTAATTTCTCTGACTCGTAATATATCAGTTGTTAAATTTAGTTCGCCACCTCGTGTCCTTGTATTGATATTTTAAAAAAATTATAATAAGCTCCATGATCATACTAATATTATAAATGCGAAAGTTTAGATGGATGGATGGATGTTTGTTAGAGTCTGTAGCCTAAACGACTGAACGGATTTCGATGAAATTTGTAGTACACGTGTAGAGGATAGTCTGGCAGAACACATAGGCTACTCACTTTTGTTTTTTTTTAATCCCACGCGGACGGAGTCGCGAGCGAAAGCTAGTTTGTTATAAAATAAACAATAGTGTCACAAAATAAAATATTAACATTTAAATATTATTTAATGACCCCTATTGACAATAAATTTAAATACAATGAATTATATTGGTGGTGTCGAGCCTGTCAACAGGTAGTGTTAGTTATGATTATTGGGAAAAATGTCTAAAAGTGAATTGGCAACTATGCTTTCTCTATATACAAATATTTTTGGTATCTCGTATCCAGAATCCACAATGTATCTATTGTTGCAGTGTCTGGCTACAATAGCAACAGTTTATTGGCGGAGTAACGAAGAAAGTGTACAAGGTGAGCGATTAAAAGGTTACGCGAGATCGAGAGACTTCAACGAGGGAGCTTCGCGGGCTGACAGGGTGCAAGCCGCGTCTAGCAGTCATTGCAGTACTCGTGTATTAACTACTCTACATCTATTGGGATACTGTATAATACAAATCATTTCCAAGACTCTATATTGATGTAATCTATTTTCTTTTCTTGGAATGTTTCTCATCAACCAGTGTCATACGAGATCTGTTGTAAATATTTCCGTAAAAGAGTATTTATAGACAATGCAGTTGCATTAAAAATGTGTAACTATTTTGTATTTATATGACTTCGTTCTACAATTAAATTAAACTAAAACGATGTTATTGGAGCTACCAAAAGAATGTTATATCATTTAAAAGAAATTTATAATTAGATTTAAAAATGAAGATGAAAGTAAAACAAAACAAAGGGAATTAAAAGTCTGGCACATGAAAACGACATATCAATTTAAAAAAAAAAACACTAAAATAAACGTCATTTCCTCTTTCGTCTGGTTATTTGAAGGCAATTTTCACTGTCAATTCGCAACTTATTGAAAGTTTTTCAAAACATTAATTTTCCTTTTATTAATGCATCCAAAATTAATAATAAAATCTAAAGAGTATTGTTTAATTTTTGTACAATTATGTAGCTTAGTTTTTGTTTAAGATCTTTTTTTATAAATATTTAACTTAATAATATACCGAAAACATTTTTAACCTAGTCACAAAAACAAAGCTACTTACTTATTGTTGTTAAGTATATTTCTTTCTAAAAAGTAACGATAAATTAATTAAGCTATTGTAAAGTGATAAAGTAAGCTAAATTTGAACTTATTAATTCTAATCCTAATACAAAATTGTACAGGGATAGATATTCTAGCGAAAACAAGAACTAAATTTAAAAAAAACATTACCTTAATAATATTTTACATAAATGTACATCTAAAATTCGATTTAAAAGTAAAGTTTTATAATATTTTTTTTTTCAAAAGAAAAATTTACACAGAACAATTCTTGAAAACCCCATAATCCTTACGTTACCTAAAAACTAGATTGTTCTATTATTTTTTTCACAATTAGATATTTAAATAATAATTAACATTATAAAATTACTTATTAAAATATTTCGAATAATGGAGACTATTTAAAATTGTAATAAAATATGCATTTATTTTAAACATTCCGTGGTATTTTTGGCTACTAGAATTAAAAAATAGATACAAAATTATTACTTTAATACAAAACGTTATTGATGAAAAAAATCTATTAAAAATAATTTCTTTTGTTATTTAAGGAATATTAATTGTAAAATTCTAGTGATTAAATACTGTATTTTTTAAATAAACCAAATAATATATTTCATTATCTGAGTGCATTTAAAATAAACCGTTTTAAAAAATAAGAACATTTTTCGATTTTCTTTCCGTTAATTTTTACAACAATTCACTAAATCAACCATATTTTTTGTATTCATTGTAAATGTAATATTAACAAACTAATTATTTATAAATTTATGTGGTATTTTTTTACGTTCCATATTTTTATTATCAAACCCAAATTAAATTTTTCTACAATTTACATGTAAAAAAATTTGCCATATTTAATCCAAAATTGAAATCCTAATTTTTTAATAACGAAATTTCTTTTGTCAACATTCACAGACATGAGTTTTTGTATGAAAACGTATTTTATAGTATGCAGTTGAAATTGTTGCTTATTGTTACAAAATATTTATAGTGCGTAAGTTATAACTGTAAATAATAAATGGAATTTGTGTAGCTCAAAATAACTACCACATCAATAAATATGTGATCAACATACGTTGTTTCAATTCCTATTGTTTTATTACCATTCTGCGGTAATTACTTAGGCTACATTTGCCCAGAAACTAATTGTAAGTATGCACTATTCATCATTTTTATTACACATGGATTACCAACTAGAACATTAGTACAAACAATGGCGTTTTCACTTATTGTTACTACGAATACCTAAGCTGGAAAGAATAACATGTTTAAAAACTTAGCCATCGAGTAAACATATCACAAGTAAAGATTACTTATTAGGAAATCATGATAACTTAAGTATTTAGTTTATAGCGTCTTATTCAGACTTCGAGACTCTCTTTTCTATGACGTTATGCAATTTCATTACTTCCTCCTCCTGTTCAGATAAAAACTGTATCAAGTTATAGGACAATTATTGTATTTTTTTTAATGAAACTGAAAGGGATGGAAATATTCTTGTAATACAAGTAGAGTGTACTCATAGTTACACATGATTAAAAAGTCACCTAGTATTTTATCGTCCGCATAAATTTCGAGTGGATGCATTTAACATTCTGCGGTGAAACAGCTGTCCGCCGCACGTACTAGTGTAATCAGTAATGTGCATTTATTTATTAGTAACAACACTACAGAATAAGGTAAAACACGTTCTTCCTTACTTAAGAGATAGATATTTTTAATATATACTCTATACTGTATCTATACTTCTATACTAATATAATAAGGCGTAAACACACACTACTTTGAGGCGAAGGATGTCAGCAATCAAAGCATATTTTTGAATAAATCTTTTACACACTTTCTATATGTTTTGACGCTATTAAACTTGGAAAAAAACACCTTCATGTAGGAAAGGGACCACAAACTACAAGCTGCCAACATTAAACAAGCAAGTTTATTATGGTAACGGTAATTTTGATATATGTAAATTATAAAATAGAGTTTATATAATATCATGCGGATGAATCCGCACGTGAACAATTAGTAAGTAAATATTTTAATATGCAAAGAATAGAAGTTTGAGAGCTAACCCTTAAAAAAATACTGTACTGTTTCTAGCTGGAGTGTTAAGTTTTGTAAAATTAAAAACATTTTCTTCAAGTTAATTATTCGCCTAAGAAGTCGCGTGAGTATTTAAATTTGCATACAAAGCTCACTTATCTTTTCAAAGTATTTTTACTAAGAATGCTTGAATTAACGAAAAACTTGAAGAATTTTGCGGTAGAGTTATAAATTTCGTTCCTTTATTAAAACGTTTAACTCTTTACATCATAATTATACATTAATATTGCCCGCCCTTTGTTGTTAAAATAACTACTTCAAGTTTTAAAATAATTAAATTCTTGTAACATTTTTTAATTAATGCCCGAGTGAAGCTGAATTATTTTAGTGGTAGGTGAAAATGACGAATGCTTTTCATTTCATACGGATTCGTTTTATAACGGGTGAGTTTTTATTAGTCTTCCTTCTAAGAATATCGTACATTTTTTACGGATTTTAGTGTAGTCGTATTCATCAAAACAGTTCTGATATTTCAGGCACATTATATTCGTGTCAGAAAATATTAGCACTTTTGCATTTATTCGCGGAAGGAATTTTCATAATAAAACAAATGAACTGTGCACTCTTAATTAATACCGTAACAAAACAACTCGCAAGTTTTCAAAGGATCTTTCAATGAACTCTAGTCTATTCTATGATTAAAAGGAGTTTTAATAAGCTAGTGTCTTACAACTTTATTGTTTGTTACAACCTAGAAATAATCGTGCTTGAAAACTGAATTTAAGCACATTTTACCAGTATTTGTTTTTCTTACAATCTCTTACAGATCTTAAGGTCCTTTTTTCGGTGAATAAGGCTATCCATTTTATTACAATTTTATAGAAACGACGAGAGAACTGGACTAGAAAAAGACTATAGGACGAGTAAAGTACAGCATATGAATAATTCAGACACTTCTCATAAATAGCTTCGACGTAAAAACGGCTCGCTGAAATTTGTATTTACGTGTCTCAAGCCATTAGCTGCTCCCATGCAGTTTACATTATGCATCGCTTATGCTAGTTTCATAGGAGAGCAGAACAGTAATGAAGAGCAGTAGAACAAGGACAAGACAAAATACACAAGACAAGATAGTCGCATTACGCTAGAAAAAAATTCAGTGCGTCAGGGAAAGTTGTTGTTAATACATATTTAAATTTTCCTTGGCGATATTAATAATATTACTTTGCCTAAGAGACAGGTTTGTTTTAATAGTAAGTGTGCATTCATATAGCAGTACTGCAGTATTTTCTACTCTGCCTTACTGTTCTTCCCTCATGTATAACTATCACAAGCCCTGCCCGCTTTATAGCTTTCATTGTACATCAAATGCTCTTTCTAATTCACTTTTGATTAAAAAAAAAAACAATCGTGTAGCGTACGTTTTGTTAACACTATCGTAAATGGATAATGGATTTAATTATGGATATAATTAGTAATGATAACACAGTGTCGGAGTTTTACTTAAATTATTTGAATTCAGAGAAAATATGCGTCTCTCCATACATCGTTACTTATAAAATTATCAATCTATTGTTTAGCGGTAATAAAGTTGCTGATTTATGACCCACGAACCCTTTTAGTCCATAGACATTTATAGCTTCATCGCATTGATATACAGTCGATGTTTTCACTGCCAAAATTTGTAATAACACACGCATAACGTGAGGAGATATTTGTGAAAAAGCTAACCGTTCCTTAGAACATTCAGGAATAATTCTTATTGAATCATAGATAATTTCTGAGGTATAGGCAAATTGATGGTCAGTTAAGTCTGATACAAAACTTCGATTATGACTACAGTTTTAATAAATATTGAGTGTACTTAGAACTGTGCAGTTTAACTGACAGTTAATATTTCGAAATCGTTATGTATGCGTTGATGCATAAATGTAGAAAAAGCGAAAGAGGTTTCTCTGTCTGCTCCACTATTGCTCCATTTTAGGTCGTGCCTTACGATATTGAGCGTCAAAAAGTCAAACTATAAACTAAACCTGAAAGTGTGAAGCGGGCTTTAATATGCGCCTGCTGTTCCATAATGTGTTGATATTTTACTGCACAAAACTATAATTGCTTTTAATAAAATAGTTAATATAAGAAATGTGCAACATAAGCTGAATTAAAAACTTCACCGTCATTCTATTACCAACAAATCATGCACTTACAAACGTTGAGTTCAAAGAAAACTTTATGTAATTTTCATTGCATAGTTCAAGGGGTGTTCCAGTCAAAGGAAGTCGGCCATTTCACTTGCAAATTTTCCTTATGTACTAATGTTGCGCCCACCGGCAATACACTTGCCGCGCTCAACTTTCGTTTCCTATTCCTTGTTGATTAAAGTGCATTTGTATTAAATGTACGTTAAAATAACTATTATTCCACACAGAAGACAGGCGTGAAGTGGAAGTAATTCCGTGTCTCGTCTGACGAGTGTGATGCCGGAGGCCTAATTTAAGTCCCTTACTTCTTACCACCTTTTTCTCATAAGGAGAGGATGGGAAGGGGAAGTGGATTTGACTGTGGAGGAGATGCATAGGAAGGGGAAATATCCTCTTTATGTGCGTCTCCTCCTCCGTCGGATAAGGGTAAGCAACGCATCTGCAATTGCGCATGTCTATGGGCAGCGGTCGCTTCGCCATTTTGGCGGATTCGGGTGGCCGCTTGCTCGTTTGCCAATTTATGTTATAAAAAAAATACTACAACTACCGTTTACCCCGGAAAAATAAACAATATTCATCTATGGGGTATTGATATTTAA